CAGTAAGGTCTATGAGAGTACGGTACATGACAGTCTCCCGTGTGAGTGTCCGGGCGTCACGGCGTGCCGGAATGAGAGTGCGTGACTTACAGGTTGATTTTTGTATTTGAAACCCTTGGGGAAAGAACTTGGGGGCGTCCATGTTTCCTGAGTTTTCATAAGTACTCACTTAACTTTGCGATTTTCTTTTTCCCTTTTCTTTACATGCATTTTTCTAACGACTTCTTTCAAAAAGAAAATAGGACGCTGAAAGTAAAAGAAAGACACCACTATCAGTTTGACAATTAACGCTCTCTAATTACTACTTTGACGATCGCAACTGTTACATCACGAATAAAATCAGATCTCTGGTATTTAGACATTGTAACAACAACCACAATGGCGAAATGATGATAAAAATAATGATACCACTGATGACGATAAGACCATCATAATTTTCATAATGGTTATTGCTATTCTTCCTGTGCTTCAGAGAACGAAAATCCGGACAACAAAGCCACCAAAATGCTGACTGCCGCCCTGCTCACCTTCGCCTTGCTGATTTCCGGCCTCCGAGCGGAGCAGCAGATCCAACAGACGCGGGAACTCACCATCGAGAAGATCCTGCACACGGCCGTGTCCACCTCGACCTACACGGTGGTGGTGTACCCGACCTGCACCACCTCCGTCGCGGGCGTGTCGGCCTGCCGCGACGCCCACGTCCCAAACCTGAGCCACATGATCCACCCGGAGGCCTCGCGGGCGCCACTTAGGGGCAGGTGAGGCACCGGTCGGGTGAGGCGCACCTCCTCGATGTGCTTGCCGTTCCGGGGGCGCTGTAGGCGTTGGCTTTGGTCTTAATTATAGCTTTTGTTGGTATTGGTCTCTTCATTATTATAATTAGGATTGCCTTTATTGTTACAATCATAATCATTATTATTCTTACTATCAATATTATTACCATCATCATAACTATTATTATCATCATCAGTATTATTACTATTATCATTATCATAACTATTATCATTATCATAACTATTATCATTATCATAACTATTATCATTATCATAACTATTATCATTATCATAACTATTATCATTATCATAACTATTATCATTATCATAACTATTATCATTATCATCATCATCATAATAATTATCTTTATTACCATGTCTGTTGATATAATATTGCTATTATTATTGTTGTCATTATCATCATTATTGTTATTATTTTCATCAATATCAATATTGTCAGTATTAATATTACTACAGAGTAGTAGAAGTAATAGTCTCTGACATCGCCCACTGGGAAGAGAGCGTCTTTCTGATATGCACTTTACCCCCGCCCCCCCAGCGTGACGGCTGTCCCCGCGCAGGACGGGTCAGAAAGCTCCACGTACGAGGTTGCCGAGGTCGTGATGCCCTCCTGCGACTGTCCGGCGCCTGGCGACGCCGCCAGTTCTTCCTTCCGCTCCGCCAGACTGCTCCAGGACCAGGTCATCACCATCCGCTCGACCACCGTCCTCACCCATGACGTCCTCGTGACCAGCACCGACCACGCCACCACGGTGTCCATTACGTACAACGGCTGCGTTCCTCCTGACGCCCCCGCCACGGCCACCTGCGACGCGTAGGGGGGCGTACATGCGGGGACGGGGAGAGTGGGGGACGGGGAGAATGACAAGTGGGAGGGAGGGGGAGGGGGAGGGAAGGAGGGAGGGAGGATCGCGGGAGGGAAAGAGAGCTGGTGTTAGGGGCAAGTGTCGAAAGGCTGCTACAAAGCTCACGTCACTGGCACAGGTTTTTTTTCTCTTATTTATGATGCATAGTTTGCATTCCTGCATTTGACCATCTTGACTTGTTGGTGATATCTGAATTTCATTCTTGACTATGGCAGTCTTAAAACTGTTGTGTATTTGATATGTTGTTAATATTTTAGTGTAAGGTTAACTCCAGGAGAGCGAGCGCATTACATGGATTCCCAAACTTTGCTCACATATCTGTTAATTTTCTTCCTGATGAAGTTATGAACCGGCGGGTGCAAATGCCTTTCGATAGTTCTTCTTGTAAAAACAATATGAATTACTCTTTCCTTTTGTGTCCTACACTTTATTTTGTAGCTTTCCCCATTATATATTCTTATCTGACGGTAGTTCTAATAAAGTGATAAATGCTACTGCTAGTTTCTTTGTGGTAACTTTCCTTATATAACACAGGATTTTAAAATGAAAAAAAAGGCAGGTTAATTACAGAAGAACAGTTATAGGCCTGAGAACAAGAAGGGCCAATGTCATAAGAGTCAATGTTGAGAAAAACGCCTCTGAAAGTTTGCTCCGTTAAGTGAAAGTCCGCAAATAATGATTCACAAGAGTCTTTTGTGGTTAATCAAACTATGTTGCATTAATCTTAGTTTTTTAAAGACTACTCTGTTTAACGTATTTTTTTACTGTTTCTTTCAAAACAACATTGCAACAAAAAAAATCCGATTGAATAATAAATGAAGACATTTACTGCTGATGGTGTCTAATCCAGTCCTCCTAATTCGATTTCTAAAGTTTTTCTATCTTTTTATGATTTAAAATTAAATTGGTTCTGAAAATATAGATAAAATAAACATCCTTTGATAACTATTCCATAATACCTCTTTGTTCCTTGCTGGAAATACCAAATCTGTATTCAGAAAATGAATGACATATTGACAATAGAATAGAATAGTAAAAGTTGCCAACCTGAAGCTTTCGGTTGCTATGTATTCAAAATACAGCCATCTGTGGCAATCAGTCGCGCGTTGGGATATATATGATTTTCAGTGAAGTTGGATACTGTAGCAATGCTCGCCGTGTCCCCAGCACACTGATGACATTAGCCGTTATAACACTGATAGAAACAGAAATGTCCAGCTCAGTGGCATGCTTATCTCTAAATTGGCATTAGCAGCGCATAATGAAACTAGGCATCTTTAATGACGTGTCGTCCTCCGACGATGCCATTTCAAAGAGGATGTTCACCTTTTTCACAGGATGAAATCCGTTTATTAAACTGTATGAACGCCTTGCTATAGATTTCTTTATAGACATTAAATTCATGGCAGTGGGATAATAGAGAAAAGGCCGAAGATCTAAAATTTTTTACTAGTATCAAGTCACCAGAAAAAAGGAAAGGAAGAAAATATAAGGTCAAAGTGCATTTTCTTTGGTCAACGATTTGGGTTTGAGATTATCATTATTGATATAAGTGTTGCAAGTCTCACGATGACACTTGTATCTGAACCTCACTGAAGCTATACTTCGCTGCCGGCGCCTGCTACCATTGCGTTTAGGAAGCGATATGAATAACTGACGGGCTGTGATAATGTAAAAGACTCGTATTTCGTAGAGACACTACGGAAGCGGCAACGCAAGGGTTCTTAACGCTGTTACAAGCAAGGTAGGCTGTACATACTGCACACTATCTTGAAAATCGTACTTGGTAACTTCCAAGCTAATCTCCACTTTGCCTTTATTCATTGCAAAAAATAGACATTAAAAAAAAAAAAATGTTTTCGTTCCTCGTCATTATTTTACCTTTGGTTTTACTGTACCATTTTCAAAGAAAATGCACTGGAAAAAACACTGACCGGGTCCAAAATGAGGCAGTGTTATCACCTTTAGCCAATGAGAGTACCAATGATTCAGATAAAGCTATATACCTAAGTATTTGTATTATTTAATCAATATTATCATACCGGAAGTAAAACCAAAATTCCCATCTCTTACTCATAATTACAAAGAGTTTCTTACCATAAACAGCAGTCAGCTCTACTGGGATACTTTAGTGAACGTTCTTGTCGAGGAAAGGATCTGTGGGCCTTGTCGTGTGTTGTGAGCCTCGACTCAGCAGAGGTCCCCGCAGTTATGATTATTCTTATCATTAACATAATTGTTGCCATTGTTATCATTACTGATATTATTTTGATAATTGTAATAATGACAAAAACAACGAAAACAGTAATAATGATAATGATGGTAATGATAATAATGATAATGAAAGTAATAAAACAATGACAATAATAAATACTACTCTAACGATAACACCAATTATAATAATCATTATTTCTATTATTACTACTAATATTATTATTATAAAAAAATATTAATATTAGTATTTTTTTATAAACATTCTCACCATTATGATTATTGCTATTATTATTATTATTATTATTATCATTATTATTATTATTATTATTTTTACTATTACCAAGGACAGAAAAAAGACAAAAGGACACAGACTAGAGCCAAGGCCTTCAGTAAAATATAAGATAGAAGATAACGCACATCGCCGCTACTGGTAAGGTTAATAAGTTGGACGAATATGATGGTCCTCTACTTTTTAAAATCAAAACTTGTGATTTGTGTTGAGAAATTTTCAAGAAATATTATTATTATCGTTACTCTTATAATTATTAATACTATTGTTATTCTTTTTATTATTATCTACTATTTTCATTTTCACTAGTAGTAGTAATTAGGCCTATTGTTAATAATACTTTTATTCTTATTGCTATTCTTCATTATTAACTATATCATTATTATTATTATTCCTCTTATTTTCGTTAGCATATTTTTGTCATAATTTTCATGAATGGTATGGAAATACTGAAATTAATTAGTTACTGCGTAAAACACACAATTTTAGAATCGTTTTCTATGATGTTTATAGTGAACTAAGCTAATTTTCTGTTCCTTTTCTCCTTTGATGATCAAACGTTCACCGATTTTTGCATTCATTAACCTGTTTGCTCATTTATACTGATAATATAATTGCTACATTATTTTGGCTATTTAGGGATACAGGGTAAAAGGATGGGGATAGAAGGGAGAGAAGGCAGCTGAGGATCTAGTCAAGACATTTTGGAGGCGGAGACACACGCACAAGCAGATATATATGTATTTATTTGTATATATATATACATATGCAAATATATTAATATACGCATATATGCAAACACACACACACACACACACACACATATATATATATATA